CTTGCCAGACCAACGGACCGAATTTCAAGGGCAATTCGATCAGCTGCTGAGAGAGACGCGCATCACGCACCAAAGGACTTCGAGATACCACCCGCAGAGTGATGGACTCACCGAGCGATTCGTGCAAACCCTGAAGAAGGGGCTACGGGCATACGGGGAGCAGTACAAGAGGGACTGGGATGTGAGATTGCCATGGGTGACCGCAGGATACCGATTCAGCAAACAGGCAGCGCTGAAGGACCTGTCGCCGTATTACCTCCTGCTGGGAAGGGAGCCGATTCTGCCCATTGATGCACCAAAGCTGCTGACAGATACCGTGATGGTGGGAACAGAGGAGATGTGGGTGGCTGTGGCAGAAGCGCGGGCGAGATACCTGAGAGAGCTGCTGCCCGCCGCTCTGGAGAACTTGCATGTAGCTCAGCTGCGAGATGTACAGAGGTACAAACAGAGGGGAGCGAGGAAGGAAGGCCGAGGAGAGCGAGGAGTACAGCTGGGGCGAGAAGTGTACCTGAAGCACACAAAGAAGGAACTGATGGATATAGGCCTGAGAATGGAGCGGTGGAAGGTGAAAGAGGTGAAGGAATCAGGAGTAATAGTGCTGGTGAGTGCAAAAGGGGAAGTGCGGAGGGACCACGTGACCAACGTGGCGGTGGCGAGACCCAGACGAGGCGAAGGAGAGTTTACAGGGGACAAGGCTACAGGCCTCTCTGTCGGCAGGACCAAAGATCCATCGGCTAACCCAGGAGAGAGGGGCCGAGGAGGGGGCAAGTGAGGAGACAGAGAGGGAGAGCTAGAACCAGAGAAGGGCAGGAGAAGGCCCAAAACCAGGGAACAGGCAATGGAGCATAGGCCGACAGGAGCCAGAGCAAAGCAGAGCCCAAGAGCAAGAAGACCAGCACAGGAGAAGGGCAGAAGGAGCATATTTCCGACAAAGCGTTCACCGACTCCGTCGACGGGAAGGGATCGTCCTCGACTTGACATGTCCCTACACCCCGCAGCAGAACGGCATGGCGGAGTGGGTGATGCGCACGGTCGTCGAGGCCGTACTACGATGTTGCTTCACATGGGAGTGAAGCACCACTGGTGGCACCTCGCCCTGCGGCAGGTCGTCTGGGTGCGCAACCGCCTTGAGCGATCGCCGCTGCCGCCGAGGACGACGCGGCACCAGCTGCTGACCGGCAAGAAGCCCGACCTCGCGCTGGCGCGCGTGTGGGGCTGCATGGTGCACTTCATGGTCCCCGAGCAGCAGTGGGGCGGGAAGCTGGCGCCGAAGGCCCGATGGGGGCTTCACCTTGGTGTGTCACCGAAGATCAAGGGCTGGGAGGTGCCCGACCTTACCGACAACAAGGTCGTCACCACGGTGGAGGCGATCTTCTACAAGACGATGTCGCTGGAGGTGTGGAAGACGGAGCACGGGGCGGCGTCGGGGCGGACACAGACCAACCCACTGACAGACTCCTCCACGGCGACATTACCGCCGCTCGCCAAGGTCGGCAAGCCTGATGACGATGACGTCCACCCTCCCCCTCCTCCCCCTGTTCCCGCTGTCACACCCCTCGTTGCCGACTTGCATGCGCCGATGTCGGCGTCAGCCACCGGCGGTGAGGGGAGCCTTGGGGCGTCGCCTGTGGCGCTGGCCAGTGGCATCGCCGGCGGCTGACGTGCCCACAAGCAAGTCGGCGTGGGATGGAAGCCGCTGGCGAAAGGAGAGCAACTGGCAGTGGACGTGTTGCCGACGGGGGAGCTGTCGGCGAAGTTGACGTCGGCAGGGGAGCCGACGATAGGGAAGAAGTTTGCAGAGAAGCCGAGTTTGGTCCAGGAAATCGAGGCCGACAGAGCAGTCGACGGCGTCGAAGGGGAGCTGTCGGTGGGGGAAGCGTCCACTGACAACGACGTGGTGGAGGCTTCGGTCGACAAGCCTGGACTGCGATGCTCAAGCCGGCCCAGAAAGGCTCCAGGGCGGCTGAGCTATCACACCTGCCTGTTGCCGGCCGTCTTCACCACGATGCACGACGACGCACATGCCGACGTCGACCTGCCTAAGCTCGACCCCGACATGCACGCCGACCCAGAGAGGTGATGGGACATCGCGACCATGACGGCCAAAGAGGCGTTGGCGAGCTAGAAGGGCAAGGCGGTGAAGGCCGCCATGGACGAGGAAATCCGGAGCCTCATCGCCATCAGCACGTGGGAGCTGGTCGAGCGTCCGCGCGGTGTCAACGTGATGAAAAACCGGTGGGTGCTCATGACGAAGTACCACCTTGACGACCCGGTCGCTCGAGAGAAGGCATGCGTGGTCGTGAAGGGCTTCGCGCAGGTGTACAATGTCGACTACAACAAGACGTACGCGCCGGTCGGGAGCTACGTCACGCTGAGGATCTTCCTCAGCATTGTCGTCGTCCTCGACTTGCACCTGATGCAGCTCAACATGAAGAACGCCTTCCTGCAGAGCAAGCTCGATCGGGTGCTGTACCAGCCCGACTACTACAACGACGGGACCGGCCGCGTGTGCAAGCTGCTGAAAAGCTTGTACGGCCTCAAGTAGTCGCCGCTGCTGTGGTACTCGGCACTCGACGCCGTGCTGACTGGCGCCAGCTGGAGAAAGAGCCTGGTCGACAAGGCGTTGTACTCCAATATCAGCGACAACAGAGTGGCGTGCTGGGTGCTCGTCTACGTGAACGACCTGCTCGCCGCCAGCAGCAGCACCGCGATGCTGAAGGCGCTCAAGGAGCTGCTGGAGGCCGCCTTTGAGCTGCGCAAGATCAGGCCGGTCGAGAAGTATCTTGGGCTAGAGATTGTGCGCGACCGACCTGCGCGGAAGCTGTGGCTTCACCAGCAGGCCTACATCGACACGCTGCGTCGGCGTTTCATCGACGAGGAGCAGGGCGGTCGAATCCCGAATACGCCGATCTCCGTAGACGCCTACGCCGAGCTGGCGTTTGATGACGAGCAGTTTCAGTCGCGCGAGGAAGAGGAGTACTGGCAGAAGGTCGGCTCGTTGCAGTTCGCTGCCACGACGACAAGGCCAGACATTGCCTTCTCGTGCAGCAAGCTGGGATCCAGCCTGACCGTGCGAAGCGACCAGCACTGGCGTAGGGGTCGACCACTGCCTCAACTACCTCGCCGACACACGTGATGCCGCCCTGGAGTTTGGCGGCGGACCAGAGTCGCTGCATCTGGTCGGCTACGCGGACGCTGACAACGCCGGCAACAAGCAAAACCGCGGTAGCACGAACGGCTACGCGTTCGTCTTTGGTGGTGCAGCAGTCTCCTGGACAAGCCAGCGCATCAAGTGCGTGACTCTGTCATCGACGGAGTTGGATTACATTGCTGCAACCGAAGCAGGCAAAGAGGCTTTACGTCTTCGCTTCCTCCTCGCCGAGTTCCAGCTGCTCGACGCTGGGACACCGACCGTCTTGCATGTGGACAATCAGTCAGCCATCGCGGTCGCTGAAGGTTTGGGGCTGAAGGGCAACCTCAAGCACATGCAGCGACACTACGCATGGCTGCAGCAGATGGTGAAGCGCAGGAAGAATTCCTTGCAGTTGATCCCGACCACCAAGCAGCCAGCCGACGTCTTGGCGAAGGCGCTGCACTTTCCGGCCTTCAACTGGTGCTCCGTTGCATCGGTCAAGTGCGTCTGGCCGACGTCGGCGACGGCAAAGATGACGTGCAGTAGTAGGCGCCACGTCTTTCTGCATGGCTCGTGCGGTGACCAGCGTGCTGTGACCGGTGTGCTGTGTGATGGGTGCACTCCGATGACTTTTCCGTGTACTCTATCCCTTGGGTTCTGGGTGGACCTTGTGTGGGTGCCCAAGCGTGAGTTGGGCAGGGGAGTGTCGACGAGAAAGGCCCCGCCCTCTCTTGGGCGCAGCCGATTCCGACGTCGACCAGGAGGGCTCGACAGAGTGGTGGTCGAGCAGTCCTCGCTGGTCGACATGAGTGGTGGTCGAGCAGGTTCTGCTCGACGGGACCCGGTCGACGACAACGACGGAAGCCGCTGGTCAACGACTGTGGCCGACGATCCCGTCGAGAGGAGTTGGTCGACGAGGCCCGTCGAGGAGCACTGGACGACAAAGCAGCGTCGAGCAGGTTGACGGAAGCTGCTAGACGGCGAACTCTGGCAGGTGTGCAAGTTTCGGCCCTGGAGGCTTTGACGAAGTCACAAGCGGGCTGGTATGCCAAGGGCGAAGTGGAGCATCTGGCGCAACTGACGTGGCCGACCCGGCACCTGTGCGATTGGCGGGGCGAGGCACAACGTGCTCGACCACCTACAAGCACCTGCGAAGTGGGTGCGCATGTGCGCTACTGTCACCTGCGGTTGCAACGCTGGCAAGCTGCCTTGCTGCAGCGTTGACAAGCCGCACTGGTGCAGCGCTGGCAGGTCTTCGACTTGCAGTATTGGCAAGCCGCCTCCCAGCTGCGTTGGCGCGTTGGCGCGCCGTCGACCTGCTACGCTGGCAGGCCGCCCCCGTGCTGCGCTGGAGGTCGACCTGCCTAGTCGTTAGGCTGCTAGGTCCCAGATGTTGTCATTGTTGCCATTGCAATTCCATGTATTCTCGTTCTGCTAGTGAAACTCTTGCCAGATTGCTTTATGAACACGCACGTAGTGAGAACACAAACATAGCTACTAGCATTCATACCACCCGTGCCTTCACTCGTGGTTCAGCTCCCACCGTTGTAGAGTGACTCTCCGCACGTAGTACGATGTCCACTTGGCGCTGAAGCGCGTTTGTCAATTGGCGGGGATCTTTTCGTGACTGGGATGTTGGGATCGTGCTGGCACGGTAAAGTGACGTGGAGTCCACCAAGAAGAGAGTCCCATGTGATTCTCCAGATGCACTGCACTCCCTCACTCACAACCGCTCACTCACAATCAAATTGTACCAATTTCACACCATGCACATCCATCTTCGACATCCATTTAGTGTTCCATTCGCCGATAAATCCCTAGCAGCTATGGGATGTGTTAGTGCTGCTGTCTCTTTATGCACCTACCCATGTCCCCTCTATCCCCTCTATCACCCCTGGCCCGCTCTATCCCCCAATTTACCCTTGCAAAGCACCGCCTGGCAGCACACAGGTGTTGCTGGCGCCGCATCTGGCACACGAATGGCTGGCCCTTTGCCTGACTGACTACCTGCTAACATCTTCTCTCCTTGTACCCAGCACCCTCCTATCTCACCCGATTAGAGTCGAGAACAACAGCAGCAGACTGAAGATGGAGGAAGAGCAACATGAGAGGGTGCAAGAGGCTAAGGCAAGGGCCAGGGGGAGTGGGTTGGAGGAGAGGGAGATGAGATTGCGGTAGAGGTATATTCGCGTAAGCGCAACTTGCAAGCTGTTTTGAATATGGTTGCACCAATCTCGGATGAGCACTTGGGAGTGGTGAAGAGCTGTGATTCTGCGTCGTACAACTTTGTGGGTCAGCTGTTGCAGCAACTTCTCGTGTTGTTGCTGCAGTAGTCATGTACCCGATCCACGAAGACGAACGAAACTAAAATACAAGTCTTCAGCTCTCAAGTGCTCATCGGAGATTGGTGTAGACATATTTGAAGCAGATTGCAAGTGGCGGTTAAGCAAATATATCAACCTCATCTGCAATTCCATCTCTCTCTCTTTGCACCCTACACCCCTTCTCACCCTCACCGCCAGGCTGCTCGCAGGTATCGTTAATGGCGTACTTCCCACCCACCTCTCTCAATCCCATCTCCCTTCAACCGTCCTCTCCGCCTCCCCTCCACCCCCCCCCCCCCCCCCCCCCCCAACCATCAGGCAGCACGCAGGTGTCGCTGGTGGCGCACTCAGTAGGCGGGTGGTTGGCACGTCTCTACCTCGCGGAGTACGGCCGTGCTAACGTGGCGATGCTGCTCTCCCTCGGATCGCCACACCTGTGAGTGGGCGCCGTGGAATCGCATGGGGCTGTGGCAAGGGCGAGCGTGTGTCAGACTTGGGGACGATGGCGCATTTGAAAATAAAAGCATGCAGCATACCGTCGACGATTCTTCTCTGACTCCCTCTGCATGTCTGCAGCATTGCACCCTCACCTCTACTCTTCCCAATCTCTCTGTGAGCTATCCTCACTCAATTTCCTGCCTTCTTCTTTTTCTTGGTCTCTTCTCCCCCTCCCCACATCGCCTCCTACCAGCCCACCGCCCCAAGGGGCAGAGGGGGAGGTGGATCAGACCAGGGGTCTGTTAACTCACATGCAGGCCGTCGCTCCAGGCGCTTTCCACGCACCGCGTGTCAAATACGTCTGCATTTCGGGCAGGTGAGCGGCTCTGACCTAGACGTATGATACTGCTGTGTTTGCCCTATTTGGTCCAATACGTCTGCTTTTCGGGAAAGAAAGCCTTTCGTTTTCACCTGGTATATATTTGTCTCCACCCTGTAACCTGCTGCGCGTATGCTCCTCGTGCATTATGGAAGCTGCTCATTTCAGCTGAACCAGTGCCACTTTGCTTTGCCTATGGAATCTGAGCAGGCTGTATAATTTTCCCTGCCCCGCCTGGGTTGGGTCCTTCCTTCCTCTTCCCTTTTTTTCTAATCTGCCCCTAAAAATCCCTTCTACCATTGCTCTCCCGCCTTCTCAACCTTTCCCCATCACCTCCGAACATCTCCTCCCACCCATGCAGGTACATCAAGGGCTTGCCCCTGATTGGCAGCGCCGTTGCCACCCCTGCAGCAGACACAGCAGCCTCAGCACCAGCCGTTGTGGCGGCAGTAGCAGCAGCGGCGGGGGGGGGAGGCGCGTGTGTTTGCCCTGGATGTCAAAACAGTGGGGGGCGCAGTAGCACAGGCAACTGGTGGGCCAAACTCAGACTTCGAGAGTGATAGAGAGAGTGGGGAGGGCAGCAGCAGTGTTTCAGTTGAAGAGAGTGAGGAGGCTGTTGCTGGTGGGCAGGTGCAGGTGGCATCTGGGGGAGGTGAGTTCCAGGCGCGCATGGTGGGGCAGAGGTACTAGCAGGTGTGCGGACGGGCGGACGTGTGGGGGGACGGAGTCGTGCCGGAAGATCCGCCCTGCTGGAGGGGGCGGAGAATCTGATATTGGACGGCGTATATCACTTGCCTGTGGGGGCCAGTGAGGCTCGACCGTGGTACGGGTCTCCCTCCGTGCTGCCCTCATGGCAGCACCACCTGTTGGTTTGAGCTGGTAACCGTTGTCAAACCTCTCCTGGGGTTGGGAGGTAGAATCGGCTTTTTAATTCATGCTTCGAATGATGAGTGAGGGTGCATGGCAGGCAGGATGAAAGGGGCGGAATAGGAAGGGGAGAGACTGTTATTTTAATATGGCAGGCAGCAGATTGGTGGAATGGGAAGGGGTGAAGTGAACGGATGCGAGCAGTTGAGAGAGGTGGGAGGGAGTGATTCGCATAATCTCACTGCAGGAGGGGCAGACAGGGTGATTGCAAGTGGGTGTACCATATCTATCGTGCAGTGCAGCCGCATGCATTGAAAATTAGTAACCAGTTTGGCTCAGCTTTCAAAAGCCATACATGAATTTGGAAGTCTGAGAATAAAAATATTTTTTTTTTTAATGGACCTAAGCATCCCCCAGAGGTCGTGTGTAATAAGGCTGATTCTAAGTTTTTGTATCCCTTCCAACCTGTATTGATATATATGCTCGGGTAAAGTCGTCCGTAACCGTGCGAGTGCTAAACGATTTTTGTTTGCAGTGGAGCTATTTTGTACGAGCTATGGAATTTTCGATGATGATGTATGGATTCATCAAGTTCTGCACTGAGTTCAGCTCTGCACCTTGATTGGCAGCCCCGATACTGGATGGATTTCGCCACGCCAATCAGGCAAACAATTGCTGGCTCATTTCCATCCTAGTCACTATCCATTGCGAACCGACAGCAGGAGATGAACGGAACTGAGACAGCAAACAATTGACGACGCATTCCATGCTAGTCACTATCCATTGTGAAACGACGTCAGGATATGAACGAAACTGAGACGGGAACGACATGGTAACTTCGATTTAGGTCACGAAATCACAAAGGCTTGAAATTGACGACATCACAATAGTCGCAAGTTGTACACGAGGACTCACAATTCGTGAATGTGTTCGCCATGAGCCGAACCGTGAGCTGAAGTCAACCGTCATTAGGCATGAGGTGCGCGCCCTATCTCGCATGTCCCAGCGCCCCAGCAAGCCGTGTGAAAGTCTATCTTCCCGCCAATCTTTTCCTCTAAGCAGACTCAAGGCAGCGAAACCGAGCGGAAGTCTAAACTTGAAACAAGACTCGAGGCCCTGAGGCACTCCCGTCAATACTCTATACCGTCAATACTCTATACTCGAGAATCAGGATGACTCCAAGGCCGCCATGGATTCCACCAGGAACTTCAAGGCGACCAATGTCGGTCAATTTCTTGTCAGTTGCTCTTTCCAAGACATTATCTGGAATCTACGTGGCAAGACGCTTACGAGGGTATACTTTTTGTGCCTATCCCAAGGGCATGTTACCTACCAGGCGCTTGTCAGGCAATCCCGAGTGTCTTTTTTCAACTACAAGGTTTCTTACACATGTCGATCATGCAGCTCCTAATAATCCTACGGTACCTCGAGAGCATCCTACCTACCATGTTTCGGCATCCTCCTTTGGTTCTAACTACATTGGGTGGTCCATCCACTGATATTGGCAAGCCAAGAAGTTACAACAAGGTGTTTCTACCAGGCCTATATTATGGATATTACCGTGGATTACCAAGGAAAATGACTCGACCCAAGCCTAGCCAGAGGCTTCATAAGGCTTTGGTGCTCAGTCAGTTTTCATTATCAGCAACAGTGTTGTGCTCTGATTCTCATCATCGCACCATGGGTCGTCCTTTGAAGAAGGTTGCAGCTGCTCTGAAGACTGGTGCGATGGAGCGTTCGCCGCTGGACAAGGGTCACCCGTCGGAGCCTGCTACACCGAAGCCGATGCTGAAGGACACGCTGGGACCGTTTCCTGCGGATAACACCAGGATGTCGCTGGAGAAGAAGTTGGCTTCGCTGAGTTTCCGGACTCTGGAGGACAACGCATCCGGGGAGGCAAGCACTACAGAACAAGGAAAATAAAAAGAGGCTGAGGGTGACGCGACGGCTGCGGAAGCTCGTGTGGATCCTGTGGAGGAAGATGGTGAAGAAGAGATAGAAGATGATGGTTATTTGAGTGACGACCCGGAGGAACATCTGGATCCTGTTCGAGCCAGGGAAATCGCGGCACTTGCAGGCTACACGATTACCCTTTTGATTCCGGTGGAGTTTGAGAAGGAGGTCCCGCGAACCATGGATACAATGAAGGGGTTGCTGATTGTGTGGAAGAAGGCGTTGTCGGCGCATGCGCAGAAGACAACGAAGATGCAGACCATGCTGTCGGCTTACCTGTCGAAGAAGCGCTTTGGGAGGCTGCAGGTTACCTTCCGGGAAGCTGCGGATGCGAACTATGTCTGGTGCCGACGTGTGGAGCACATTTGCGCGGACGGGAAGACTAAGCTGATCCTGAACTGGCAGCATCCGGAGGATCCGCTGTACATCAAGTAGCGCGCGCAGAACCCGGAGGCTGTGGAGGTGCTGCTGAAGGAGGTTCCCGCAGAGATCTCGCCTGATATGATCTACAAGCTCCTCGTCACTACCCCGCTGGAGAAGCGTGGTCGCCCACCGTACCAGACCGGCGCGGCTTTTCATCGGGTGGTGGATCCTGTGACGGGAGCGGACACTCATAAGATTAAGGGGTTGGTGAAAGTCCACCCGGGGGATAAGTATCGGTGGTGGCACATGCTTTATGATACGGTCCATCACAAGCAGCTGCTTGTCCATTTTCCTTCGCTCAAGTGTGATTTTTGCAACGGTATGCACTTTACGAAGCTTCACGATGACTATGTCACGGATAGGCAGGAGAACATTGCGAAGTGGAATCTGATGCTGCAGCGGATTCATGACATCAACGGTAAATGGTGGTGCACTAACCTTGTTTTTTCAGGCTGTTGGGGTCCAGGTCTGGAACGCTGACAGCCGCTTTCCACCCTCCGTGAGCAGCTGGTTCGCATCTGCTAAACGCGACGGTGAAGAAGATTCTTCGGGACCCGGCGGTGTCCCTGGTCTCTACGGGAGGCAGCAGGGAGGACTGGGTCTGCGTCGAGGAGGCATGTGTGAAGGCGAAAGGGTCCAGTTTCTCTCAGGCGTTGTCCCATGTGCGCTCTGTCCAGCACTGCACCGCGATCCTGAAAGGGGGGGATGCTACGCGCGCAAGCAGGGGGAAGGTGAACCTGACGGCGATCCGCAAGGAGTTCGCGCTGTGAAGGAGTTGGCAGCATCAGTGCTGGGGTTTGAGCCTCGCGTCCGGTGCATGACATGGTTGGTCAGGAGTTGTAGCGGTAGTCATCAGCAGTTTGGTTGTATGAATCTTGGTTGTACTCAAGCCCGTGGATGCGGTGGGGCTCCTGCGCAGTGTATTAATGGGTAACAAAACCAACGGCATCACACTGTGTGAGTTCAATGTGAACGGCCTCGGAAGTAACGGAAAAAGGAGCAAGAATTTGAAGTGGCTTAAGAAAACGGCAGACATCATGGTGCTGACGAGTAGGAGAGGACCATAACTTTTGGACTCAGCTAAGACCGACGGCGATAGCGCCGGTGGCCCCAAGTCAGAAAGCAGGAGGGGTTGCTATCCTCTCTTTTACAGACGGTGTGAGTTTCAAGGAGATTAAAAAGCACAGCGCTGGCAGATTTGTGGGGGTTACGGTCTGCAGTACGCACCTGGGGTTCTGGCTAGTAGCGGCGTACCTGCCGGCTCAGGCGGGCACACGGTCTTCTTTCCTCACCAAGTGCCTTACTCCGTTCGTCCGGGAGCAGCCGGCGTCACCGCACTTGGTGCTGATGGGAGATCTCAATCTGGTAGAAGACCCGGAGATGGATAGGTCCTCGCGCGCTGGCTCAGGGACGGAGGATCTGAGGTTGCAGAACTTCTGGCCCACGCACGACATGCGGGATGCTTTCCGCGCGCTGCATTCGTCTCGTCGAGAGTATACCTTCTACTCCAGAGCATCGCAGACAAGCTCACGGATAGACCGTGCGTTGGTCTCTCTCTCGGTGTTGGGGCAGCTGACGGAGGCGAAACATGTTCGGGTCCCAAAGTCGTTGTCGGACCACTGGTTCGCGATTCGGGTGGGTTTCTCGGTTGCTGCATCTTTGGAGAGGGGTCTGGGGATGTGGAGACTGCAGGCGAAGCAGGTTAACACAAAAGGGGTGAAAGCGGTAACGGAAACAGTTTTGAAGAAGTTGGAGGGGGAGCCGGGCTGCGGGCTGGACAAGACGCTTCGGCTCCTTTCCGCAGGCCTACGCGCGCGCACACGGGAGGAGAAGAAACGGGTTTAAGCGACGATCGCGCATCTGGAACAGGAGGTGGAGGAGTTACGACATGCGGTAATGCAACGGCCGAGAAACAAGAGGCTACAGGACAGGTTGGCGCTTCAGGAGGCTCATCTGGAGGCCTACCTGGAGAGAGACAAGGAGAGGCTGAAGGTTCTGGCGGGGATGAACGTGGAGATGAACGGGGAGGTTCCCTCGCCCTACCTGACATCGAAAGTCAATATTCGGAAGAGCCGCACGGTGGTGCAAGAGGTCAAGCATAACGGAGTGGTGTATCGGGGCACGCGCGAGGTGTTACAAGCGGCAGAGGAGCACTTTGGGGCGGACTTTAGCGGGGTGCAGCCGGAGGAAGAGGTGGATTGGGGGTCTTTTGCGCTGGGTCCGCGTTTCTCGGATGCCGATGCGGCGGAGGTTGGGAGGAGTTGGACTGAAGCAGAGGTGAAAGAGGCGATTGCCTCCAGCCGAAGGGCAAGTCCCCGGGGCAGGATGGGCTCCCGGCAGAATTCTTCGCGGCACACTGGGACCTACTGAGAGGGAGGGTGATGCAGATGGTTAAGGATTTCGAGCTGACGGGCAGGCTCCCGGAGTGTTTGGCCACTGCGGTCACG